GACAGGGTTTCTCTGTGTAGTTTTTGGTGTCCATCCTGGATCTCGCTCTGTAGACCAGGCTGGTCTTGAACTCATAAAGATCCACCTGGCTCTGCCTCCCGAGTGCTAGGATTAAAGGCGTGTGCCACCACTGCCTGGCTGACAGCAAGTTCTTTTACCCACTGACCTATCTTATTGCCTCTGAATAATTGAATCTTTGTATATCTTCCTTTTGAAGATTTATTTGTAAGTGTGTGTGTGTGTGTGCGTCTAATTTATGCACATGAGTGCAGTACCCATGGAGGCCAGAAGAAGGCACTAGATCTGGAGCTAGAGTTAAAGGCAGTTGTGAGTTGCCCAACATGGGTGCTAGGAACCAAACTTGGATCTTATGCAAGAGCAGTATGAACTCTTAACCTCTTAGCCATCTCTCTAATCCTTTGTGGTCCATATGCAAGTTTAGTGTTACTTTTCCTCTTGATTAGAAAAGATGTTTTATATAAATATGTTAGTTCTATGACAAATGTGCATACAGAAAAAGTTTGTACTTATTATTCCACACAGGTGTTTTCAATTTTTACTTGGAAAAGGATATCAGTATTTATTCTCTGGATCCATTTTATTGTTGCTAAAAGCTCTTCCATATTTTAATATTCCTTATATTATTATTAGAATTAAAACTATACATTGGGGCTGGAAGATGCCTGGCAGTTAAGACCTCATACAGCTCTTACAAAGGATCTGACTTTGAATTCTGGTACCCATGTCAGGCAGATCACAACTGTCTGTAATTCCAGCTCTAGGTGATCTGACACCTTCTTCTGGCTTCCATAGGCACGTAGGTGCACACACACACACACACACACACACACACACACACACAATTAAATAATAAAATAATTCTTCAAACAAATCAAAACAGCAACAACAACAGCAACACACACACACACACACACACACACACACACACACACACACACCATGTCTTTACTTGAGTTATGTGTGATTCATGTTTGTATATCCTGTGAAGTGTGATTCTAGAATTTTTACACTGGCTATTTCCCCCTTTGCATTTATTTTAAAAATATGTTTCCACTTCCAAAAATATATACTTGCTTTGTAAGGTGGTACATATCAGATGAGGTGAGATCCTGTTTAGGAAAGTACACTTACACAAAGCCTTTTAGATGTGTGCATATCTTATCTACATCACTACCATTCTCTCTCTTCATTGTTAAGGGAATCCTTATTTTATAGGATATTTGATTTTTGTTATAATTCTTACTTCATTCATCTTCTGCCATCTATTTTATTTATTTATTTATTTATTTATTTATTTATTTATTTATTTATTTATTTATTTATTTATTTATTTCCTTTACAGGTGTGAGACCCATTCCTGGCTTTGTTTGTTTTAAAGATGTAAGAGGAACTTGGTTTGGTGAACTGAGGAAGCATTTTTCTTTTATTGGAAGATAAAAGCCTCCTTTCCTATAGCCACTGCTCCTCCTCCTGGTTTGGATGTACATGACAGACCCTGATTCTTGGAGCGATGGCTGTCATCTTGGTTACTCGAGGATAAAATACTGACTTGTTCAGAGTGGCAAGGGGAAAGAACTTGAAAGAGACTGGGTCTTTTGACATCATAGAGTTTCTGACCAAGCCCAGAATTCCCTCTCTTCACATTCCTGGATCAGTGAGATAACAAAATGGCTATTGATTGAGCAGTTACTACTCAAGGACAAATGCTAATCAATGGTGTACTTCCATGTGCTTCTGTGGAGGCGTACATGTGAGTGTGGTCCCTTGAGGGGACTTTTGTATACTAGGAAAGATTTTGAGAGTCAGAAGTTTGGAACAGGCCAGGTGTGTGGAACATATCATTCATTCCAGCACTTGGGAGGCAGAGGCAGGCAGATTTCAATGGGTTTGAGCCCAACTTGATTTACTTAGTGAGTTTCAGGCCAGCCAGAACTGCATAATGAGAACTTGCATATATATATATATATATATATATATATATATATATATATATATATATATATATTAGGAAGAACTGACTGAGTTAGTAAAATGAGTCTTCCCTTGCTGTTTTCTACAATGAGCACAATGTCACTAACAGAGCTTTTGAAAGGACTAAATAAGATGATTTAAATGAATCATTTAAATTAGCAGCTTAACAACAACGGATATATGGATGTATTGTTCTGTTAGATATCCTACCACTCCTGGACTGTAGTGTGTGTGTGTTGGGGGTGGGAGAGGTGAAGGTATACAGGTAAAAAGGACTTTGGTGAATTGTGTTTTGTGAACAACACTGTGCCCTGCTCCTCTTAAGTGATTTTTACTGAAATATGCTCCAAAGTCTTAATCTGTCCCTTCAATGTCCAGTTCCCTCTGACTTACTTCCCATTTTCCATACATTGAGTGAGACTCACTGTTTCATTTTCCTGTTCCTCATCTTGACTACCCCTGTCAGAAATAGACTTATCTTGTACCTTGAGCCCCTTCATTAATTGTCACTCATCAACCTAGTGTGGGCTGGTGTGTGCCAGGCGCTTCTTGTACAGCAGGTGCAGAGTTTGATGGGAGCCTTGAACTGACAACAGGAGTGGGGATTGTAAGGGTCATGGAATGAAGTCAAGGGAAGTGTTTGCCTTCTTGGTGTTTCTGAGAGGCCCCAGCTGGGACTGACGCTCAGATGACAACTACTCACCACTCCACACGGTTGGACCCTGTTGATGTCCTCTGTGCTTGATGACTTCACCCCTGACTTGGAGGAGGTGGTTGACTCAGAAAATTGAAAGGGGGTGGGTTCTAAGTCTATCCACTCTGTGGAGTATTTCTACCAAAGGGATTTGGGTTTTTGTTTTTTTTTTTTTTTTTTTTTTTTGTTTTGTTTTGATTTGATTTGGTTGTTTTTGTTTGGGATTTTTTTGTTGTTGTTTTGTTTTTTGAGGTAGAATCTCTCTTCATAGCCCTGGCTGTCCTGGAACTCACTATTTAGACTAAACTGACCTTGAACTCACAGACATACACCTGCCTCTGACTCCTGAGTGCTGGAATTAAAGATGCAAACCACCATGCCCGGCCCAAAGGGAAGCTTATATGAAGTTAATTTCACAGACTGAAGAAGTTCAACAACAGTGACCATGAGCCTTAGGATTTGAACAATATTTCTCCAGGTACCTAATCTTGGCCCTTGCCAAACCTAAAAGTAGACATTTCCCTTTGTTTTCTTCTCTTCTGTTGTCTCTTTTGTGCCAAGATCTAAGGTCAATGCATCAATAAAAGCAGCAGAGCCAAGTTAGCAAGGATTCTGAGCCCAGCGACCATGACAGCCCATCCATTTTTAACCACGTTCGACCTACAAACTAGGGTGATGTCTGATAGTTTGATGTAATGGTATAATTTTATTATTTGGTGACTGCTTACTGAGTGCTGATTATTAAATAACTTTAACAGCTCCCAAGCGGCCAAGCTTGGATCTGAGCAATGTCTGATATCAGCACCCCTGCTTCCCCCAATTTTTAATGAACCTTTTCTCATTTTCTGGCCTCTAGATAATACAGCTAAAGATAGACTTTTCCGACATTTTGAAGTTCACTACACTCCTCAGAAAATGTGAGAGAATGCAGCCAGCCTCCTCGGGAAGATTAGGAGGGCAGTAAGATAACACAGCCACCTCCAGGCTGATATTTGAGCCCTGCTTTCTACACGGTCAAGCCTTTCAGAGGCAGCCAGCCTATGGCTTGTATCAAACTCTATATTTAGGAAGAACAACTGTGAGCTATGACAGGAATTCTCTTTAACACTTAGCCTTAAACCAAGTTCCCCTCTATCCCCAAGCCAGGAGCAGCTCTCAGGACCGGAGAGCCAGAGCACTCCAGCTATTTCAGCCACATGAAAAGCACTGGAATTGAGATCCCAGCTCAGAGGACACCGGGAGTTCCTTCTACCCTCTAAAGAGCTTTGTGTTTTCTCACCTGGCTGCTTGGGACTGTCCTCAGGCAGTAAACAAATCCAGAGAGCAGGTAAGCAGAAGGACCCAGCTTTGGCTCTCCACTTTCTGGAGGAAATTTCTTTGATCACTGACTTAAAGTGACTACTCATAACTTTGTAGTTTGCTAAGTACCGGGTGTAGCTTCTTTGTCAATTGCCCGCTCACTGGTAGTAACACTGATTGTATCAAGTAAGTGTGTGTGTGTGTGTGTGTGTGTGTGTGTGTGTGTGTGTGTGTGTGTGTTGAACTAAAGGGGTTTTCATTGACAGGGATGTTAAAAAAAAGTCTACAATCCAGATATGATAACTATGACCTTGAAGCTCTGCTGGCTAGTGTTACAGTCAGCTGCAGACTGCTAACAGGCTCTAAGCTGAGAATTAATCAGAAGTGTGGGCAGAGGAAAGGTGGAACGTTAGTTTGTGTGTGTGTTTGTTTGTCTAAATGAAAACCATTGTGAGAGTGTTAGACAGCGTAAGTTTAGAATCCCTCTCTCCTTTCCTTAAGTGCCAGGCTTGGTCTCAACAACAAACTTATAGAGACAGAATCATCTTCTCGAGAGCTTTGCTTTGGTCACTGTTTTCCTGTACCCAGCAGGGTAGAGGGCAGCACTCAGTGTCCTTCTCTCCATGGACACCAGATTCCAAGGTATGGAACTGCAAAAACTCTTTCTCTTCCCTCCCAGCATAGTGAAGTGGTCAGAGCATCATTCCCCACCTCCTTGGGAATTATTTTTAGCTTCAGGACAGAAGATAAATCCCTTTGAGATAGAGCCTTACTCATTTCTTTGACCTTTCAAAAGAACACACAAAGCTCTTCTTTCCAAACAGCGATTGATTTTCCCCTTAATCTCTTCTTGTGAAATTAGTGATATTAATGTTAGATGGTTATAGTAAGTTGAAGGGTTTTATTTAGAAGCTAGATATTAGGTGCTGCCCAATCAAAAGCAAACAGGGGTCTATCATCCATGACTCAGCATACAGACCATTAAAATTTCCCACAGACTGCCAGGAAAACTTACCTGTGCTCGGTTGGCAAGCCTCACCAGTTTATTAAAGTCAATATATGCCTTGTCAAACGTGCAGTGTTTCAAATTTTAGCCAGATCCAGGAGACAGACGTAGCAAGTGCATGTTGTAAAGAGTACCTATTTGGATCAGAAGCAGTGGTCCTGAAGTGGGTGGTGGTAGGGTGAGTATAGAAAGCATCACTTGCTGTTTCCATCCATGGAAGAAGCACGCAGATGCAGAGGGAAGGTGCACTACACTCTACATCCTGATGGAGGTGAATGCTCGACCAGGGAAATAGCCAGGGAACACTGTCTATTTTTATTCATCACTGTGCTTTGCCCTGATTTCTCTGCAAATAATGAGAACACCAGGAACTGCTGCTGAACTGATTTATACAAATATTCTGTAGCCTGATGGTGAGAAATGAGAGCAGAAAGAACTGACTTTCTGTAGATGTCTCTATTGAAGATGGTCGAAGACGTTAAGAAGAGATTCACATACAAATGAGAATCTAACAAAGCTAGATAGGGGAGACAAGGTTCATGAATCTGTTAGGCCAGAGTGTCCCAGAAAATACTATGATCCAATAGTTAGTGCAAATTGTCAGTGAAACAATAAATCACAGACAAAAATCAATGTAGTATAAATAAAACCACTCATTGTTCGCTGCTTTTGCATTTCAGTTTGCTACTGTAATCACATAAGGGCATTTCCAAGTCCTCATGATTGAAATTAATATACAGTAACTTAAAAAAAAACCCAAACAAACAATGTTGCCAGGTGGTGGTGCATGCCTTTAATCCCAGCACACGGGAGGCAGAGGCAGGTGGATCTCTGTGAGTTCGAGGCCAGCCTGGTCTACAGAGCGAGTTCCAGGACAGCCAGGGCTACACAGAGAAACCCTGTCTCAAAAATATGTTAATTCAACTAGTTGTACTGCACATGTAGTGACACTGTGCTCAGGTCTTTAAAGTCTTATAAGAATTACTATTTTTGCATTATTTTTCTTAACTTTTGGCAAGTGGAAACGTCAAAAATTAAGCTATTTTAAGCATCTCATTTTGGAATTGAGCTGTGTACCCTAGAATGAATGACTAATTAGAATGTTCTTCATGTCTCTTCGATGCTGAATGGAAAGTAGCACTCCACTTAAAACCAATCATAGAAAAAATGTATTCTTGATTGTTCAATCTGTTGTTTTTGCTTCATTTTCAACTATATTAAAATCGGGTCTTCCTGGACTCTTATTGTGGAAGCAGTACCTATATCCTAGCAAAACATTTAGATGAAACTTTAAAAGTTCTGTTATTTTCATGTTTCTTAGCTTCCCAAACTATATAAGATACAATAATTGTAGATATTTTTAAAATAAAGATACAATTATTTATCTTCATAGAATAGAAGCTAAGATTTAAAATTAAAAAAAAAAAACCTTGCATTTTTGCCAAAGTTCTCTGGTCATTTATTTCTGTGTTGAAGACCAAGCATCAGTTCTTCTCTGTACTTGTCTGCAGATGAGCACAACACTCAGAAGTCATTAGCTGTGGCCACTGGCAATAATGCAACAAACATTCACACCACACTTTAGAGTTCAGAAAGCCTTGCCAGAGGCATTATGTCACTCAAATCTTACCATAACCTGTGAAGCAGGGCCATTTTGAGGAACAGAAAACAGACCCAGAAATATTGAATAACATTGCCCAAACTTCAGGTGACTTGTATGAAATATTAATACTGCTCCCTGTGTTCATTCAGTCATATGTTAACACATATGCATAGGGCTCAGTAGATAGAATTCAGTTAACTTATTTAAGGCTTAGAACAGAGCATGTTTTTAATTCAATGAGTTTTTAACTTTTTACTTGCTCTGGTTGATGTTTAACAGACAGCTATAAAAACAGGCCAGAGCTAGGTTCATTATTACTCTTTGTTCCTTTAGCTCCAGCAAACCATAGCCTACATCCCTAGATGGGCTTTGGTCCCAGTGCTCAAAGTTAGGTCTCATGTGTTTAAAGAAAGTTGGGGAAGAAAACACTTCTACACTTTGGGGGGTCCAATATGTAGTCATAATTCTACTTGCTTTCTAAGGTAGTTCTACTGAAAGAAGACTATAAATGAAGGCAGAGTTTTTCTGTCCCAGCTTCCTGGTCCCAAATAAACACACAAAAGCTTATATTAATTACAGAATGCTTGGCCAACAGCTCAGGCTTATTACTAACTAGTTTTTACATTTAAATTAACCTATTTCTATTAATCTATGTATTGCCACATAGTCAGTGGCTTTATCAGTCTTCTGGCATCTTGCTTCTTGGGAAGCTTGCTCGCATCTCTCCTGACTCCGCCCTTCTTCATCCCAGGCCTCAGTTTGATTTTCCTGCCTAACTTTATCCTGCCTTGCTATTGGTCAGCCACCTAACTTTATCGTGCCTTGCTATTGGCCACCTGCCTAACTTTATCCTGCCTTGCTATTGGCCAAACAGCTTTATTATTAACCAATGAGAATAAATCATATTCACAGCATACAGAAGAAATATTATACAACATAAGACAGCTCAAGAACTTTCTGGCTCCAGTGTGTCTAGAGCCTAGGCTTATTGGGGATGGTTGGGTGGGATATATGTGAAGATTAAGCAACTCAGTTCTTCAGATAGTCTCCCAGGTCTCTGGGAGAAGAGGTATATGTACAGCTGAGAGAGGGTATTTGGAAGTGGAGACATCTTTGGGTATTCTACAGAGAATAGTTGCCCCTCCTGAACTGAGTAGCTGCCCTGGCAACAGTGAGTGCAGATCAAAAGTTCAGTTTCAAGCCGAGAGCCTCTGAGGCCGAACAAAGGTGTTTTATTCCCACCACCTCTTCAGTTTGCTGCTCTTGGCAGAAGGTCAAGAGGGCAGGGAAAGAGATGATAGGGCCTTTCAAGTTTCTGATCACCTATCATTTGCATCAGGGGCAAGGCATCTCAGTATATCTCCTCTTGAATGATTTATCGAGGTGCTCTAGTGTTCCCTCTCCCAGAGGCATTGGGAAGGAGAGTCTCCAAGTAACTACAGAAACTGAGACTGAAAGAATATATGGCCAGTGAAAGGGGCGACTGCCCAGTTGAATCATGTGTTAAAATTCTAATTTATCAAGACCTTGAATCTGAAGGCTGCCACCTCTAACAGTGTCTTCTTTGTTTTTGTTTTTTATTTTAGGGATAAGATCTCGTGAATATGTCGAAACAGCCAATTTCCAATGTTAGAGCCATCCAGGTAAGTAGGTATATTTGTGTTTTACCATCAACTCGGTGGCTTCTGGTCCGATTCCTTAATAAGTCATACCAACTGCGATTGTTCATCTCTAACTGATTATTAACTTTAAGAAAAATAGAAAGTACCTCTTTATAAGACTTAGGGGGCAGAATTGAGAAAGAAAACTGATAGGGTGGAACTGAGAGCCGAAGCTACTTTTGATTGCTCTGAATCATAAGACAATCAAAGTTTATGAATGAGAATTACATTCTACAAAAGGTGCTAGATCCACAATAACCTATTCTATCCTCTATGAAGAACCAGAGAGAGGCTCCAGAAGGTCCAAAAATAACAGAGTGGGAAGCACTACTTAATCTAATTTGATCAATATATCTGGTATGCATGTATAAAATTATAGTACTAAAATATACTGTTTCCCATAAGGATATATAGCTATTACAGGTTAATTAAAATATGTTTGTTTATGTGGGATTTTTATATGTCCATTGATAGAGAATAGAACATTCAATTTTAATTTTTGTAATGAACTGATATGCAGATACAACAATAGGTCACAGTTTGCTTGACTCATTGGTTTCAAATATATCTTTTGGGGCAGGAGGTTTAGCTTAGTAGTAGAGCACACAAATTGTATGTATATGGCTCTGAATTCAATTTCCAGCACTAATAAAATAAAATAAATCTTTCTTTAAACAATAACCTTTTAAAATCAACAGTTCTTCCAAAGCCTTGTGAGTTTAAGTTCATATATTATTAATTTTCCTCATGTCATTCCAACAAACTTGTTGGCTGCTTAAACTGGCTTAAGTGTCATCCACAAAGAGGAGATGGAGGAGCAGGCATTTGGAATGTAGATACAATATGAAAATAACTTTCAGTACTTGTTTTTACTCAAGACTTAATCTGTTATTTTTTTTTTTGAGGGCTCCGAGTTTAACTCTCAAATAGCTCCCACCCCTGGGCACAATACTTTACTGTCAAATTCTGTCTTCCTATTGTCAGCACAGAATCTAACTGTGCTTTCTTCAAAGAAACTTCTTCCCTTTCCTGGCCTTTTCTGAATGCTGCAGAGCACTCAGTGGCTCCTGAGTATTGTAATTCTGACGCACTAAACACAGCATAAACACAATGACAAATGGCTGACTGAGCTTTGGAGTGCTCTGTGAACCTTCGGCCAGGCTGTGAACATGCTGTTGAAGGTTTGAGAAATCCTAGTACACAGCAGTGGTGAAGGGTGTTGGAGAGACAGATCTTTACTTGTCATGACTAATGCATACCCTTAAATTGATGGCGTTCTTAAGTGGTAGGACATATACCAGTCTCTGGAAACCTGTCACTGAGCAAGCCCAAGGAGGGGCCTATGCATTTGGCAAGGATTTCCTTCCACATGTTGACAGTCGGCATTCTGGTATCTCTATCTAGTGAGTCTCTGATGTACTCTGACAAAACAGTGCCCACTGCCATTATTTTGTCACCTGGATCTGTGAACCTTGAGCCTTGAATCTTCTCTTTTACATGATATTCAAATAGTAGCATGGACTCTGAAACAGACTGCAGTCTTGAATCCATCTTGTGCTGGTGCAGAAAGGTGGAAAAGGACTTCCTGCTGTTTTACCCCTCTAGACCTCCATCTCCAAACCTGTGGAATGGAGGTAATAGCAGTTCTGTTTACAAATTAACAAATGAGACCCCCAAAATAGCATAGTAAGCTATCATTGGAGATCAGCCATTATTCTATTTATGATCACAAGGGTAGTTTATGTCAGAGTTGTGACTGCTGCACTCCAAGCTCTGAGTGCTAAACAGAAAATTTCCTTTTTATTTTTTAAAACACTATCAAGCTGCTTTTTCATCCCTTCCTTTTAAAGCTGAAAGTGTATTGATTTTTCTTCCTTAGTGCCCTCTGGCTCACACAAATCTCCACTGAAAATTCACCAGCATTTTATTTACTAAATTTGACCTTGATGTATTTTAAGGTCTGCAATATTTAAAAAGCT